TTTTTTTTTTTTTTTTTTTTTTTTTTTTTTTTTTTTATAGGTGAAATAGATAAAGGATTAAATAAATTAATAGATATTTATAAAAATATAAAAACTATTTTATATCAAAATTCTTCAATATATGGAGATTTATTTTTACTAAAAATTAATAACAATTTGATAAAAACTAATTCAGATGAAGAGGTAACAAAAATATAAATATATATTTAATTTTTAATTACATGTTATTACTTTTTATATAATGATAGTATTTTTTTTCTTATTAATAATATATATTGTGAGAAAAAAAGTTTGAACTGTTATTTTTAATATAATTTTAATAAAATTCATACTATTAAAGATTTAGAAATGTTCATTTATTCTAATAGAAACAATATGTATACATTTTTTTTTTTTTTTTTTTTTCAGTTAATAAATTTCTGGTTAAAAACATTGGACGAATTGTGTGGAATTAAAGATGGTTTTTATAAATTTTTTTAAAATTTTATATATTTTAAAAAAAAAAAAAAAAAAATTTAATTTTCTGCTCTTTTTTTTTAAGTTTATTTTATAAAAATGCTTTTATAAATTTTCTTGTTTTATATGTATTTTTAATATACTGATAATTTCTTTTAATTAAATTTATGAATAAACTGTTTTATTTATATATTTATTATTTTTACTTAATAATAAAAATTTTGAGGATGTATTTTTTCGTTAAAATAGTAACATAAAAAAAAAAAAAAAAAAAATAAAAATAAATAAAAATAAAAAAGTAGCAAACTTATTGTTTTTTTAATATTTATAAAAGTTAAAAAATTGTGAATAGAAATATAAAAAATTATGCCTACTTTTAATAAAAATGAAAACATATTTTATTTAAAAATGAAAACATATTTCATGTAAAAATGATAACATACTTCATATAAAAATGATAACATACTTCATATAAAAATGATAACATACTTCATATAAAAATGATAACATACTTCATATAAAAATGAAAAATAACTATATAATTTGTTTTAAACTTATTAAGGTAAAAAACTTTTTTGTAAAACAAAATAATTTTAAAACATATAGTGATTTTATCGAAAGAAAAAAAAAGATAAATTATATTTCCTATTCACCTCCTATAGAGAAAGAAAATGATAAATATAATTTTGAAATATTAATGAAAGCAATAAAAAACAGAGCGAATGAATATAATTTAATAAAAATAAAAGAAGTGCAAGATAAAATTTTAATTCATTTAAAACATTTTAATATAAATGAAGTGATATCAACATTAATATTTTCCTTCAAATATAACTTACTAAATTCAAAAATACTATTTGAGATAATTGAATGCATATTTCAAAATTCTTGTTTTTTAAATACGAAGCATTTGTATGTTTTAATGTTAATAAGGAAACAGTTGAATTTTGAAAATATGGATTATTTCTATAATGAAAAAAATGAAAGAATTAATAAAACGAATGATTTTATAAAACATATTAATGAAAATTTCTTTTGGAAAAAAAAATATTTCAGAGAAGTTGAGGAAAATATATTTTCTTCTATTGAAAAGGAAGTTTATTCAAAAGAAAAATGTGTTCATGAAATTGATAATAATACAAAAAATAAATGTTGCGATTATGATAATGTAGAAATAAATGAAAAAAGCATAGTAGAAAAGGAAATATACGAGAATGAACTCTATGAATATGAATTAAACGAAAATAATGAAATATTTCCATCAAAAAAACTTGTATTAAACGAAAAAGATATCTCTTTTGAAATGGAAAAGGCATACTTGAAAATTAAAAATATATTATATCATAATTACAATAATATTTACGTAAATATAAAAAACAACATGTACATTTGTTTGTTGTTATTAAATTATTTATATGACGAAAATATTATTAAAAAAGATGAATTTTTAAAAATTGTATATAATATAAATGTAGAATTTAATTTAGACACATTTCAAAAAAATAAAAGTGATAAAAATAGCTCTTATTCTCATACCATTATTAATTTATATATTCAAGAACAAAATAAAAATGAATCTATTTATGACATATATATGCTTACACATTTAAATTTGTTAAAAAATATTTTTAAAAAAAGCAACTATATTAGTGATGAAAATGTCTTTGAAAAAATAGAAAATGATTTTTCAATAGATGAAGGAGCTTATATACATAAAAAGTTATACCTTGATACATTTAGGATGTTTTTTAATAATTGTTTATATATAAAAGATAATATTAATTATTTAAAATTATTTTATTTGAATGTGATAACTCACGAAATATTTAAATTATTTAATGATTATAAAGTACATCAAAATATAAAAATAAACTATATGATTCTTAAAAATATAAAATGTGTAAATATCTTAAAAGAAGAGAATGATTTAAACAATATTTATTATTTTTTAAGTATATTATATTATTTTAAAAAAAATAGTTTATTAAATTACAAGATGAATTTATTTGATGATAATTTATCTGATATAAAAAAAATTCACAATAAATATATGCTTTTTTTAAACTTGTTAAATAATTATAATTTATATGAACTTCTTATAGATAATAATATTGTCGAAGATGAAATTAATAATAAGTACTTAAATAAAGAGAAAAGAGAAAATAAAAAATTTGATGATAAAATTCAAAATAAAAATGTTGATGAGCTAAAAAATAATTTTTTTTGTTACTTTATGGTAGAATTTACTTTTAATATTACACATCTCTTAAATAAAACAGATATATATATGAAATTGCATATTTTAAAGTGTATAAGGCTTCTGAATTTTAAAAACGAATATTTAATAGATATAATTAATGAACATTTATTTAATTTTTTCATAAATAAATCATTTTATATGAACAATAACTATTTTTTAAATTTTTTGGAATATTTGCTGATATCAATCATTTATTCTCCATCTATTTTTTTTTATTTATTAAAATACATAGATAAAAATAAATTTAAAAATTTACTAGACTCAGTTAAACAAAAAAAAAAATTTATAAATAAACTAAAAAAAATATATGATAACATTAACATAATAATCAATGAAAATGAGAAATGGACAGAAAATGTTGTAAAAAATAACCTTTTTATCAAATATAATACAAAAGAAGTTAAAAGTTTTCAAAATATGTTATATGATTTTTTATTTTTGTAAAAAATCTATATTTATAAATACCTTTTTAATTAAAAATTTGGATATATCAACTGAAAGTTTATAAAAATATTTATGATTATTAAAATTTAATTTAAACATATATGAAAAAAAAAGGGAAAATAAAAATAATGTATAAATAAAATCATAGAGAACTATTTTTTTTAAGTATGCTTAAATTTTTTTTTATTTGAGTGTATAAAATAAAATTTTTTTTTTTTTAGACCCTTATTTGTATAATTTTTTCTTAGTATAGAAGTAATTTTTTTATCAAAATTGATCATATTTAATATTATTAATATAAAGTTTACTTTTCATTTGTTAGATTAGTTTACATCATTTTTACATTTTTAAGATTCTTGTCAATATTTCAATTTTTCTTTTCTTTTTTTTTTTTCATCATATTTTTATATATCTTTTTTTTAAATTTCTTGAAATATAATTAATTTAATATTATTTTTTTATGTGATAATTTTAACAAGCTTTCTAATCATTTCAATAAAAAATTTTTGCATTATTTTTTCAAAATTTTAAAATACTGTTTTTTTTTTAAATATTCTATAAGAAAAAAAAAAAAACTCCAGAAAAAAAAAATAACCATTAGATACTAAAGATAATAAAAGAAATTAATAAAAAAAAAAAAAAAAAAAGTATACATAAATACCAAACTAAAATCATATCCTTTAATAAGAGAAAATTATGATAATAAAATTATTTACATATATATGTAAACCTTAAATTTAAAAATTATCTATTATTGGTTATCATAAAAAAAAAAAAATTAAATAAGTGTAAAAATTCATTGAATTTAGATCTTCTATTTTTTATAAAATATAAAAGGTAGATATTTCTATAAAATTGTTATTTCTTTTATTTGAGTTTTATTTTAATATTAAAGTATTAAAGAATATTATATGAAAATTAAAATATTTTATCAATTTATAAATTATTCAATTATGTTTTGTTGAGTCGTTTTACTTTGCGTGTGTTTATTTTGTATTTCTTTTTTTTTAATTAAAAAAAAAAAAAAAAAAAAAAAAGACATGAAATATTAAAATAAAAACTAATATATTTAGCATTTTTATTTTTATTCTATATTAAAATATTATCAAATAAATATAAATTTTTTTAAATAAACATAAATTAAAAGTACTTATTTTATCATTTTTTCTTTTATAAATAAAAAAGATTGGAAAATATGGAACATAATTTTCAAATAAAGCCAATACAGTAACTAATTTTATACATTTATTACAAGCTTCTTTTTTTTAAATTTAATAATTTTAATATTTTTTTTTTTTTTTTTATTTCATCTCAGATTAAAATTTAACAAACCTCAAGAAAATAACTCAAATAAATATATAAATTCTAAAAAGCCTCTAAAAGCCATAAAAAATGTACAATAAAAAAAAAAAAAAAGAAAAAGAAAATTTGATTATAGGATTCTGATCATTCGAAAAAAAAAATGAAAACTTCATACTATTTATAATTTTCTTTTTTCTTTTATATATATATGCATATATATAATTATATAGAATGAAAAAATAAATGATAAAAAAGAAAATGTAAGTTCTATTAAAGTTGAAAATAAAAAAAAAGAATATAATTTATTTAAAAATGTTAAAGATATTAAAACAAATACAAATGATCAGAAAGTTAAATATAATATAAAAAATAAAACAAACAGTAAACATAACGAATTTATAGATCTTAAAGAAGAAAAGAATAAATTAAATTATATAAATAAGTACTGTAAAAACTCAGAAAAAAAAAATGAAGTAAATAAGGAAAATAAAAAATTAGGAAAAAGTGGGATCATATCATCCATTAAAATAAATAACGAAAACGAAAAATGTAATGATATCAAAAATTCTTGTAAAAATAATATTCAAAATACACAAAATAGTAAAATATATACAAAAGTGATAAAATATGAAGATAATTATTTAAATGATCTTTTAAAAAAAGAGAACGTATGTATTCAATCTGTAAAATGTGATGAACATAACGAAGAAAATGAAGAAATAATGCTTTCTAATAATTCAACATTAGAAGAAAGTTCACAAGAAGACATTTATAGTTTAGATTTAATAGAACAATATAAACTAAAAAAAAAAAAAGAATTAGAAACTAAAAGAAAAAAGATAATCCTATATAAAAAATCAAAATTAATTAAAAAGGCAACTTTCAGAAATGCTGAAACGCAAGTTATTCTTGATGACTTTTCTAAATATTATGAGTATTTAAAATTATATAAAAAAAAAAAAAAATTATTAAATTTAATAAATAAATGGGAAAATATATTCATATATAAAAATTTTAATGATAAAATTAATAATAGAATTAAAAATATTAATGATAATATTAGAAATAAAATTAATATATAAAATACCAAAAAAATACACATTTAACAAAAAATAGCATATCTCTATATTTTTTTTTTTTTTTTTTTTCTTTTTTCTATTAATTCTTTATTTTTAATATTAAAAAAGGAAAGTAAAACCTAAAATTGAAAAAATAGTTGAAGATATTTTAAATAAAGCATTAAAAGAAGTAATTTTTTTTTTTAACCTCTCATTTTTTTATTCAGTTATTTTTATTTTTCTTTATTTTATTATTTTTTATTCTTTAATAGTTATACGAGGAACAAGAATTAAAAAAAATTAAAAGTGAAATAGATTATTATGAAAATATAAGGAAAGAAAAACTTCTATCACTAAAAAAATTCGAAAAAACAAGTGAAGATTTTTATGAAGAAACTGTAATAATATTAATAATTTCATTTAATAATGAATTATATATATTTATCTACATATATTTTCCTAATTTACTTTTTTTTGTATTTATAGCAAGAAAAAATAAAAAATAGGATTAAACTTAAAAATAAAGTTGAAATGATAATGAAAAAAAAAATTGCAAACAATAAAGCTCAAAAAAATATTCATTACATTTTTCAAAAAAATTTAGATTTATATTCACTGATGGATTTATTACCAAATAATTTTGAGGTTGATTAATAACAATAAAGAGAAAATAACTTTATCCTTAAATCTATAAAAAATATTATTAATATACTTTTTTTTGTAGAAATTTATTAATTTAATAATTATACCATGGATAAGTGAATTTATTTATTATATAGTAAAAAAAAAAAAAAAAAAAAAAAAAAAATAAAAAAAAAAAAAAAAAAAAAAATTACATATGTACGTACTAGTAGACAAGAGTAATTAATGTAATATCTCATATATAATCTAAAAAAAAAAAAAATAAAATAAAATAAAATAAAATAAAAAAATAAAACATAAAAATTAATAATACTAGGTAAATGTAAATAAAGAAATTGTCCATCACATTATGACTGGTAAAAAAAATTAAAATAAAATCTTAAAGATGATATATATATATACGTTATTTTTCTTTTTATTAAAAACTTTTAAGATATGATTGAACAATCTATTATATCCAGTTCAGAAATATATGAAAAATTTAAAAGGTTAACTTATATTAAAAATAAAAAAATAAAATAGCATCAATAAAAATTAATTTTTAAAAATAATATTGATATTTTCTTTAAGGAATGTCTTAATAAAAAAAGAGATGGAGCAAAATATATTTTTCTGTGAAATTAAAAAATAATATAATAAAAAATAAATTTTTAAAGAAAAAAACCAAAAATTCTACTGAAAAAAAAAAAAAAAAAAAAGTAATTACACACCTGTTTTATATACAACGGATTAATAGGTAAATTTTAACATTTTAAAATATATATAATCTACAAATATTAATTCAAAAATTATGAACTTTTTATTATTTGTAAAACATTGAAAATAAAATTATGTATTCCATATTAGAGTAAAATAGAATAAAATTGATTATTGATAATTTAAAAATATAATATTAATGTAATAAATTTAGTAATCATATTTTTCTTCATGTTTTACCCCATGTTTTTTGTTTTTAATTAAATATGTAAATAAATTATATATGTATATATAAAAGATAGAATATGAAAAAGCTATAAAATAACTACAAATGCAGTAAATTAAGAGTTTTCACAAATGTTACAAAAATATTTATAAGACTTATTCATAATAATAATAAACCAAAAAAGAAAAAAAAATAAAATAAAATAAAATAAATGATGCAGTAAAAATAAAATAAATTAATAATGTGAATATGAATAAGAAAAAACTAAAAACATTAAAAATATAAATGAATAAATATATTTAAAATATTATGATTTTTATATTTATATCATTTAAATATATTGGTTACTTAAAAATAAAATACTTCTTAACTTTTATCTTTTTTATTATTTGCAATGGATGAACGTATAATTGTATATATTTTTCTTTTGTAATTATTTGTTCTTCACATTTGTTAATTTATTCTTTGCTTTTATTTACTTCTTCATTTTTATATATATCTTCTTCATCCTTATTTATTTCTTCTTCATTTTTATTAATGTCCTCTTCATTTTTATATATATCTTCTTCATCCTTATTTATTTCTTCTTCATTTTTATTAACGTCCTCTTCATTTTTATTTTTTGATGCTCTTTTTTTAGTTGAGTTGGATAAATTATTTATATTCAAAAAGTTCTTTGATTTATTTGTTGTGGATTCTATTTTTCCTAAAATGTCTTCTGCTAATTCTCTCATTTTGTTTTCATGTTTATCATTTTCTGTTTTCTCTCTAGCAACCTTATCCCCGTTAGTTGCATTAGATTGTTGATGAACTTCTTCAGTTGGTCTTCCCCTTTTTTTTTCAGTCGCTTTTTTGCATATAAAAACAAAATTATCTAGAATATATTGATTTTCTCTTATTATATATCTAATTAAGGGAAAACATTTATTTATTTTTCTCAATACTTTTTCATCTATTTGTATATTTAAAAATACTTGCATATATAAGTGAAGAGCGTCTGTTTTATTAATATTTAATTCTTTCATTTTTTTAAAAATTTTTTCTACCAATGTTTCATTATATTTACTCTTTTTGATAAAAGTCATTAAAAACTGCAATATTTCTTTGTTCATTTCATACTTTAATTTTCTTTCATTGTTTGCTAACACAGAAATCATATCACAAATATTATTAACTAACGTAATGTGCGACTTTCTATCTAATTCATAAAAAAATGATTTAGAACCGCTTGATATTTTTTCGTCTTCATCAATTGTTAAATACATCATATGAACAAGTAAGGTATTTTTTGCTTTTACTGTATCGGTCATAAATAAATGAGTAAAAACAGAAACAGCAGTTCTTCTCATATTTATATCTTTATCATTTAAAACTTTAAATATATATTTATTATATGGTTCTAAGAGATTTGGATGTCTATACAATAAATCTGCATAACTAATTAATAGCATTTTTCTTATATTCGATATAGTTTTTTGCATAATACTACTTTTCAATTTTTCATTTTTATCAGTTTCTTCAAATGTTGTATTATTTAATTTATCTTTATTTTCAATACATAAATAATTACCATTTTTTTTTGTCACCTCTTCATTTTCATCACTGTTTTGAATATCTTCTGCTTTCATTATGTTGCTTAAATTATTAATAAACTTAACACTTTTTTTTTTTATTTCTCTATTTTTATCATCTACTGTTTCTACTTCATTAAAAATCTGATTATTGTCTTCAATTATAATAGAAACAATTAATTGAATAATAGATACATGATGATTAATAACCATTTGACAAAATTTTTGAGAAATAATAGAAAATTTACACAATGTTAATAAACAAACAAGAACTAGTAAATACATCTCATAGTGCATATATATTTTATCTTTCATATTAAAGCTATTAAAAAACATATAACTATCACATGAATTTCCTAAAGAATCATCTTTAATTATAAATTCACTAAAAAAATTTTCTGGATTTTTTAAAATTAAAAAAACTAACGGCATGATTTTTTTTCCAAGTAAATTATTACATACAATCATATTTTCAACTACATAATCAAAATATTCTCTGTCTTTTTCTTCTTTAGTACACATTCCGTAATTATTATCACTTTTTGATACTATTTTCTTTAATTTATTTTGTATCTTTTCTGCATATATATATGTATATAAGCCTAAATGACCAGATACAAATATAAATTTTGCTAAAGTGAAACATGAAACCATACTAAAGTTATTTTCTTCTATCTCATTATCTGCTATTTTTGGCTCATCATCATTGTTTCTTATAGTGTCATCTATATGTTTTTTATTATTTTCTTCCTGTTTTTTATTACAAATTATATTTAAAATATTTTTTAACTTAGTAGTAAATATAACAAGAAAATCATCAAAATGTTCATACATACTTTCAATTATTGATTGACAACATCTAAACCATATATTTCTATGATCACATAAATAATAATAATAATCATCAGAATATTTCTTATTTTTCATTTGGGAATTATTACTATTATACTCTTTAAAATTATTCAATAAATTATATGAATTTTGTTTAAAAAAGTTTTCTTCTTCACTTTTATTTTTATTATCAACAATATGATCAAAAATTAAATTAAACAAAATAATTAACAAATTTTGTATAATTTTATTTGTTTTATTATATCTTAGAATTAAAATTAAAAGATTTATGAAATGTAAATTATGTTTATATTGATTTATAAATAATAATATGAGATGTTTTCTTTTATTGCTAAAAATAAAATATTGTTCCTTTTTTCCTTTTTTTAAATTAACAATATGAATAGAATAGCACAAAATTTTCATAAGTATTAAAGCCCCCTCCTTTATCATTAAATTTTTATTTTCACTAAATGTATCAACAAAAATAATGTTAAATAATTCATCCAATAATTTGCTAATACTTACATTTGTTTTTTCTTGTAGTAATAAGCATTCTATTATTTTTTCGATACAGGATAAATCTTTTAGTTTGCTATTAAGAGCTACATTAATTAATCTAAATGCACTAATTCTATAATCTTCCCAATAAATATTTACATTAACAAATTCACTAATTATCATTTCAACAATACTATTATTATTACTAAAAATCAATGACCATACTTTATTCATTTGTTCTTCTGCTATTTTATTTCCACATAGATGAGCTAATATTATAAACTTAATAGAGCTTTTCTGATCTGTTTCTATAACTGAATACAATAACTTGAAGCATAAATCAACACACTGATCTACAATCATAGAAATAAATAATACTTCATTGTACATTTTTATTAATAAATCATATTTGCTTTGATAATTATTTTCATTTGTTTTTTCTACTAAAATAGAAGATGAACTTGTCTCATTATCACTATCTGAAAGATTAATTCTTTTTTTATTTTTCACATTTTTTCTCATGTCATTCTTAATATCTTTTTTAGTTTCTTTTCCATATTCACTTTTACAATTTTTTCCTTCATTTCTAATTTTATCTTTATCTTCCTTTTTTATTAATAAGTTCTTTCTTTTATTTAAATTACTTAATTCTTTTTTTATTTTATTTGTATTTAATGGAATAACATATTTATTTTTTACTACATCATTTGCAATACATGAAAGTAAAGAAAATGCTCTTTGTCTGACTAAAGGAGATTTATCATTTATTCTTTCACTACATATTAGACATAAATTATTATAGTAGTTTAATGGGATAAAATTATTCTCTATTAATTCTTGAAATATTTTTAATAAATGACAACGAACATGTAACTTAGAATCATATTGCCTTGTTATTAAGACATTCATAATAAATGCTCTATTTCTTAAACATTCTTTAAAACACAACTGCAAAAAATGAGTATCATCTAAAATTATTTTATTTATTATGTCTTTATATGTATTCATGCCACCTTCATTTATATTTAAATAAAATGAATTTAAAAAAGTTTTCATCCTTTTTTTTTTTTTTTTAATATTTTTTCTTCCATTTTTTTTCTTTTTATTTTTTTTTTTTTCTTTAGAATTATTGTTATTTATATTTTTACTATTTTTTTTTTTTATTATTCCCTTTTTCAATATGCTACAATCATTCACGGAATCTTCTTCTTCTTCAGAATATTCTTCTTCATCATCCATAAAATTATAATTTTCTTCATCGTCACTCTCATCCTCATTTTCTTCATCATCATCTTCTTCGTCTTCATAAAAATTATTTTTAAAAGTTTCATCTAATTCATTATTATCAATTGAGTTTCTATTAGTTTCTTTTATTTCTTCACTAGCTTTTGCAAGAGTTATAAAATTTTTAAAAATCTCAAAAATGGATTTTCTTATGTAATATATATCTATACCTAGCATATCTATTAAATCTTTTAAATAAATAAGCAAATGACAACTTAAGTTTTTTGAAAAATACTCAAGAAAATTTAATACATTAATTATTTCATTTTGCAAATGTGTTTGTACACTTAAATTTAAATATAACAAAGCATTTTCTTTTATATAATCAATCAATTCTTTTATAATAATTAAAGGGATATCAGTATTTCTCACTCTTAGTATTGCATCACATATGTTTACATTAGCACATTTTTTACAGGAATTTAAAAATATATAAGTAAATGTGAATGAATAAAATTTATCATTTGGAAAATTTTCATTTTTATTATTTTTATTATCATCATTAATATTATTTTTATTATCATCATTAATATTATTTTTATTATCATCATTAATATTATTTTTATTATTATTATTATTATTATTTTTATTATCATCATTAATATTATTTTTATTATTATTATTATTATTATTATTAGTATTATCATAGTCATCTTTTAAATATTCCATGTGTGACATAAAGTTGTATGAATTATTTTCCTCTTTCTTATGTATTAATAAAAAATCAGTATTTTCTTTTTTTTTTATATATAATTTTAACAACGTTCCTATTATAATAGATATATGCTCATGATAAATACTCATATTAAATATATTGTTGTTTTCTTGATTAATTATATATATATTTAAAAAAAATTGCAAATATAAATCTATTATAGAATTATTTGGATGATTATAAAAAATATTAAAGTTTATATTACTTAGTAATAAAATTATATTATTTAAAAGACAGTTTATGTTTTTTAATGAAACATTTGTTTCTTCTTCATTGTCTTTTTTTTGCTTTTTTCTTCCTCTTTGAATATTTATAACTACTTCTGTATTTTGTTGTTTACTAAAATTTTTATTATAATAAAAATTAAATATATTTATATATATGAAAGTTAATGCATTAAAATAAGAAACTAATATTTCATTAATTTCAAAAAAGGTAAACTTTTTCTTTTTCTCATTTACTGAATATTCTTTTTGATTATCCTCTATACAATTAATGATAATATTCATTATACTATTATTTGAGTTCAATAAATTTTTCATTATATCTACATTATTAGATTCGTTATTTATATTACAATTTTCTAAACATTTAAAATAATTTTTAAATACATCGACACTTTTTTCTATTAAGATAGTTAAGCATCCAAAAATTTTTTCTTGTTCTAAATCATTTAAATTATCAGATATCCTAATGTAATTAAAAACAGTATCAAAACCTTCTTGGCATAAAAGTAATAAAAGATGACTATAACTTTCATTAATGAAATTAAAAAAATTAATTATTGAATCAGCATTTAAATTAATATTATCAAGATCAACTGCATCACACGCATATATATATTCATTTTTTCTTATACTTATATCTTTTATAAAATTTTCAATATTATTGTCTATTGGAAACTTAAATTTTTTTATCTTCCCTTGTAGCATTATTTATTATGTGTTAATATAAAAAATGAATATTGTGATTAAAAAATAATGAATCATTTACAATATATAATATTTTAATAATTTTTCTTTTATGAAAAATGTCAACAATTGAAAAAAAAAAAAAATAAATAAATAATAAATATATAGGAAATACTTTATAAATTGTGTAATAAATACAAGTATTACATTTAAAATTGTATTTAATAAAGAGAATATATGTATAAAATTTTAAAAGTTTTTAACTATTATGTTAAATTGTTTTAATTTAACTCTTTTAACATTTTTAAAACAAAATATAAAAAAAAAAAAATAAAAATTTTAATAATATTTACTTATTTAAATGAAAGATATATTATATATATATATATATTTATACATATATATTTAGAATTATATTTTTATAAACTTTCATTTCAAAATACCAAAAATATTAATAAATTTAACTATTATTCTTATTATAAATATAAAATATGTTTTAGATTTTTAAAAATGTTCTAAAATTTAAAAAAAAAAAAATTGATTTCACTACATTTTCCTTTTAACAAATAATCAAACTGTAATTTTTAAAAGACTTTAAAAGCCAATATATAATTTTTTTATTTTTTTAAATTAAAAAATGAGGAGGAAATTATAAAATTTTACATTATTCCTACTTTTAAATAATTATGTGATTTTTTTTTTTTTTTTTTTTTTTTTTTTTTATATATGATTTTTTTTTTAATTTAAAAACAATAAAATTATTAAAGTTTAAAAAATCAAAATATTNAATATATAATTTTTTTATTTTTTTAAATTAAAAAATGAGGAGGAAATTATAAAATTTTACATTATTCCTACTTTTAAATAATTATGTGATTTTTTTTTTTTTTTTTTTTTTTTTTTTTTATATATGATTTTTTTTTTAATTTAAAAACAATAAAATTATTAAAGTTTAAAAAATCAAAATATTTCTTTATTAATGATTATAATGAAAAATTTAAAAAAGGTAAAAAAGACAAAAAAAAAAATAAATTATTAAATTGAAGCTATTAAAATTAATAAATACTTATATATAAAAAGAAGTAAAATAATTAAATGATCCAGTGTATAAATTTTTTTAAATATAATATAATAAAATAAAATATATTTTTAATAAAATATTTAAGATAATGCGAAAAAATTAAAATACACTTTTTATATTATACCTAATAGTTTAATAATATATAATAAAAATATTTTTACTAAAAAAAAAAAAAAAAAAATAAAAAATAAAAGTTTCAAATATAGAATTTATAATTATTTTAAGAAAAAAGAAAAAAAACAGAAATAACAAAACATGGAAATATGTATATAAATGTGTTATTTCTAGTGTAAAAAAAAAATAACAAATTTTATATTAGTAAATATATTTTTTTTTGAATTCTACATATTCAAGAGAATGATAATTCAAATGTTTTTTGTTAACCTATAAGAAAAATATAAAATTTTAGAATTTATTTATAATTTATTTCAACTTAAAATTAAAAAAAAACACCATGTGTTAAAATAAAAAAAAAAAAAATATAATGATAGATAAAAAAAATATTATAATTTAATAAACATATTTGTAAAAATATATTTATTTTATTTTATTTTATTTTTTTTTTTTTTTCAATATAAAATTTATACTTAAAAGAATTTTTTCTTAAATAGAAGATAAATAATTTATAAAAGTTTATTTTTTATTCATTTTAACGGAGCTAATCTTTTATAAAATATTTATAAGAATATATATATTTAATTTTATAAATATTATTATGTACTATTTTATTTTTATATTAGAATAAGCATATTTTGTTCTTTGTTTTATATTCTATATGTATTTTTGTTTACACATATAAAAATAAATTTTAATGAATTAAAATATAAAATAAATTTTTAATTTGGAAAAAATAATTATATTAGGTAAATATGTAAGAATAATAAAAAATAAGCTATAGAAAAAATAATATATATTTTTATTAGACAATAATAGAAATACATTATATAAGAGGTACTTAATTTTTTTTTTAAAAATATCCATAGAAACAAATTCTTCGAATAATCAAATATTTATTTAAATGTGAAATAAGTATATATCATAGATTAGATATATAAAAAGTTTCTCTAAAATGATAGTGTTCTCAAATATCAAGTATATATAAAAAAGAAAATTTTTTCTTACATGAATAAAGATGTAATATAAATTCTTTAATACATGAGAAAAAAAAAATATATATATATAACATTATTAACGAAAAAAAAAAAAAAAAAAAAAAAAAAAAAAATTTGAGCTTACGAAAAATTAAATTTAGATGTATTAAAATAATTTTATATCAAACCATATAAATTTTTTTTATTAAGTTTATTTACTATTATAATAAACAAAAAAAAAAAAAAAAATAGTAAAATAATTATATAATTCAGTGAAATAAATATAAAAAGAATAAAATAAGGATGAAAAAATTAAATTTCATTAAATAACTAGAACTACAATAATAACCATTATATCTTGTATCTCCATTTTTGCATTTGCAAATAACCCCAACTTTTCTTATAACATTATTTGCTTCTTCATTCTCAGAACTAACACTTTCACACGTTGCATTAGGATCACATCCACCATTATTAACTTTACAGTGTTCTTCACATAAAAAATTATTCTCCAAATTACTTGAATAACCAGATGTGCATATGCAAAATTCATAATTTTTACGTTTTATACATATCCCATTTAATCCACAATCTATTTTGCAATCTTCGTCATTTAGAATTCTTTTTTTTCTTGATAAATTTTGTATTTTTTCTGTTTTATCTATATTATAAATAGAATCATTAGTAGTTCCTATATTCTCCAAATTTTCTTTATCAGATTCTATTATTGGTTTCTCCTTGTTTTCTACATTATCATTTTTTTGTTTTCGATTTTTTTTTTTTTTTTTTCTTCCTTCATTAGATAAAGAATTTTTCAAAGGAAAACACACATTTCCAAATCCCCAATACCCTTCATCACATATACATTTAAACTTCATTTGTGATTCATTTAAAAAGCATGTAGCATAATTATCACATAAATGTTCTGGACATTTTTTATTTATAACGACCATATCAGTACATTTATTATTCTCAAATTTTTGACCACTTGGGCATAAACACATAATCTTATTTTTATTTTTTAAGCATATTTGATTTTCACATTTTTTTGATTCTCTGTTATTACATAAAAATGATTTCGGGATTTTTTTTTTATATGTACTACTTATTTCACAATTTTTTTCATTTTTACACTTATTACTATTCCTTTTTTTTGAAGATTTGTTCTCATCTATTTTTAATTCTTTATCATATTCTTCCTTTTTAATACATTTATATATGTTATTTTGCTCATTAGTATATATACAGATTTCTCCTGTATCACATTTATAATCACATAAATAGAAATTATCTAATTCCCTTTGAGCATCTATTGTTTCATTTAGAGATTCATGAGCATAAACAAAAAATATATATACAATTAAAAAATTAATTAATTTGAAATTCAACATTTTCTCAGATTTTGTAATGTATATATATATATATATATATATAAGAAAGAACAATATTAACCAAAATTAATTTCACTAAAATAATCTAGATGAATTATATAAACATTTAGTGGAATGTAATAAAAATGTAAGTTGATGTATTCATATAATTTTTTAATTCTTAGAATAAATTAAAATAATAAGTAATAATAATGAAAAGTCTTCTAAAAGTTAATAATAAAACATCTTAACTTATAAACTATAATAATGTTTGTTGTATTTATGATATAAAAAAAAAAAAAAAAAAAAAAAAAAAAAAAAAAAA